TTGAAATAAACGAATCCAATGGATCATTGGAACATGTGAACATCAGTCAACATGACTCTGAGACCAGAAGAACTAGATGGTACACAGTTAACACTATTAACTGCTCTGAAAGAGATCACATTAGAAAGTCCCAGAAAGAGTGGGAGAAAATATGGAACAAAACTCAAAATTATAAAAAAGACTGGGCTTTCTAGTCAGAAAGAGACTAGAGGAACCCAAGATGATGGCCCTTACCATCCTTCACGTCTCGAATATACTCACCTTTGTGGACTAATTTTCAGCCAAGCAGTTACATAGGTACAAAGAAGGGACAACAACACTAAGATGTGCTCACACTGGAAAAGTCAATCACTCAAGATCAAAAGGGCAACAATTACCTAAGGACAAAGTTGAGACGGGATGGAAAGGAGGGTGAAATGGGAATAGGAACCCCAGGGAGGAAGCGGGACAACTTGTTGCATGGAGGGAACTGTAATCATTGAAATAAAACAAAGTGTATGACTTGTTGAATGTAAAACTGATAATCTGCTCTGTAAACCTTCACTCAATTAATAATAAAAAATTGCAAGAAAAAAAGAATTTGAAAGAAAGTATGATTTAAAAAATAGGCATACTGAGGGAAGAGAACTTATATCATTTTCCACAACTAGACAAAGGTAGTACCGGATCAGAGCAGGCTTTTTCAATAATTTGGCCATGGACTCTAACATACTACTGGTTGTTTTGAGGCAGATAAGACATACGGGTTCTCTTAAGCTAGCAGCCTGTTTCCTACAGCGATTTGTGTGCAATAATTTTAACTTAAATGATTGACTTCCCAACCAAAAGGTTAAGAAATCCATTGCTTTTACTCAGAAGATAAATTAAATGTAAAAACATTTGATTCTTAGCTGAAATAAACTGCAAGGTGCTCCATATACCTGAGATATAAGCATTACTTCTTACTTCAAAAATACTTGAAATACTGGTTACTCATTATAGCTAGCTTAGGCAGAAAAACTGAACTACAATGACAAGCTATAATAATTATTGTTTCATTTTAACAATTAGTTATTAAATTATCCAGCTTGTACTGTTTTACAACTAAATGGAATAGAAAATGGCTATTTTGATATCTCTGTTCCTTAAAACCCTATCCCTAATTTTCTCCTAAAATATTACCTCAAATAGTGCCAAGTTTTTGTCAAAATATTCATCTTCTTCATAACTGGAATTATTGAGGTAAGCATTTCGAGCTTTCTTATGTCCATCATCTGGAAAAAGAATTAAACAAAGTTAGTTTCTCATTAATATTAAAGAAGTATCAGTACCAAATAACTGTTTAATAGGACTCATTTCCATAGTCAAGTTTTCATCTAGACTTGTTAAATGCCATCAAGTTGGTTGTGACTTATAGTAACCCTGTTTCTGAGGAGTGAGGTGGGTTCTAATAGACCTTGGAGTTTAGCTTATTCTACAGTACCATACTTAGAGTGGTGGTAATGTTATGTGCTGTCGAGTCGGTTCCGACTCATAGCAACCCTGTATAGGGTTTCTAAGCCTGTAAATCTTTACAGGAGCAGACAGCTCATTTTTCTCCCATGGAATACCTGGTAGTTTAGAACTGTTGACCTTGAGGTTAGCAGCCCAACTCGTAACCACAATGCTACCAGAGTAGAAGAACTGAATTCAATATTTCTTGGAGAATGTGGATCCCTTTCCAGCAGGTTTAAAAACAAGATTTTAATTATCAAACACAAATCATTCCCTTTCATAACAATTCAAAGATCTCTACAAACACTATTCTTTTGGGATTCCAGCCTATAGAGATCCTGTCAAAAGCACCCAATTCTAGAATTAAAACAACAGAAACTAGTTATTGAGTGGACAATGCTGTGCTGCCTTAAATATTGCGGTTGATAATGGCAGTTAAAAACTCTCAGTCTCCAGAGTTGTCCACCTTTCATAAACCAATCAAGTCAATGAACTGAGTTATTATTTTTATATAAATGCTCATTACATATTTATTTTAAAAGAAGTATCCTACAAGAATCTGGTGAACCAGCTCTAAAGAAAATAAATCAAGGAGTGAGTTCCCCTAAGAAAACACTTTGTGTTATTTGTAAATTACTTACTTAATTTTGTAAATTACTTATTTAATTTTGGTCATCATGGACAGGCATACCTTAAAGATAATGTGGGGATAGCTCCAAACCCAGTCAAACCATTTTTTGGTTCCCTAGCCAGAATCCTGGTTAGCTATCCAAACCCACCAGCCATTCCTCAGAAACCCTATACAGGGTTGCTATGAGTTGAAACAGACTTGAT